TTTGAAAAATAGCATTCATGAGTTCCTGAAAATGCACAAAGCCTGTGACAGAAAGGAAACAAAAGCTCTGGTTTTGCCAAAGCCCATGTTTACTTCTCAACCCATCAACATTTCCTCTGCTACAGAGGAAACACGGCCCCTCTTTGCATCAACCTCCCTTTCTCCTACTGGAGCTAAAAAGAGTAAAATCCACTTCAATTACTCCTTAATTATGAGCTAAAATTCCAAGGTATAAGCAAGTTAGGCATAAGAAGAAAAAATGAACTTTTTCTTCAAAACAGAGAATAAAATATATAAAATCTTTCACTTTATATCTTATTTAACATGCACACTATTTTAGGCTTCCACTCTAAGATTCTTCATTTTTCTTATTATAGAATTGAAGAGTGTCATCCAGATTAGGACTCAATTTCCTTACTAGGTCCTTATAATTTATATTCCTATATAAAAATTGACATAAAAATCCAGATTTCACTGTTGAGAGCTAAGACTACCTCTACAGTATAAGTGCTTTTTGTAACTAGAAAAAAAATACATACCTTTAAATTGTTATATAAAATTGTGAGATCTAAGAAGGGGTTTGACAAAGGCAAAAAATGCTGAGGAATTATAGCTCACATCTGACTTGAAACCTGAAACTAACATGATTTGTCACAAGTAAGAGGTTCTTTTTCCTCTGCCATGCAAAATGCAAGAATATAAAAATTCTAGAAATACAGTGACCCAGTCTACAAAATATTATGGGTTATAGAATGACCCCATAAAAAGAGATTATCAAGTTATTGATTTTAACAAGATACAATCAATTAACACTTTTCTGCTGTTTATCTCATGAACCAGAAGAATTTTGTGATTACTTTTGTACAGATTATTTATTGAATGTTTATTCTGTTTTCACTATGTCAATTCGTCATTAGATGATTATTTAGAGAGAAGTTAAGATTTCAGAATTTGGATAAGTAGCACAACTATGAAAATTCAACGATCATAAATAATTTTATCAAAATTTCCACTTCATTATGTCTGTCTCCAAAACTTTACATTTTCCAGTATCTGGCTGAATTTCCCCTAAGAGAAATGGCACAATTTCACTGAGGGAAATCAGAGTGTGTGTTGTAATAAAACCATTTTGGACTAATACAATTTTTCCATTTGAAAACCCTATACGTTAGCAATGGTTTAACTAACCATATTTTTTTCCTAGCACTCAATATTTTCAATGCAGTTAAACACTACCCTTTAAATTCATCTCTTGTTGATTTATTGAAGACAAATTAGTTTGGTAGTAAATGTATGTCTATGAAAAATACAACAAAAACCTACTACCAATTAAGTGCAGTATGTCATGCAAGCATTAAAGACAATGCTATTATAACATGATACAAGTTCTATTAGGAGAATAAGATCTACAATTTTATTTAACTACAGGCCAGCTCTCTCAGGCACTTCCTGATCAAGAAAAGTGCAACATTCTCTCTTGAAATTCAAGTACTTTGTCTTTTCCCCCTGTTTCTTTGTGATATAACAACTTTTCTGGTTCCAGTTAAAAAGGAAAATAAAAAATGTCAATAACATCATCAACAGGGAAAAATATTAAAGCCTTTTTAAAAAATGAATCAGGTGCAGATATTGAACTGTACTTTCTCATCCTTTGTCTCACTTTTCAAATGATAATTTCTTCCACAGTCACCATTAAATCTTGATCTATTCCAGCTCTCTGTATGGGTCATTGATTCTAGATGTACCATGGTTATTTTTAAATGTTTCCCTTTCGTAGAGAAAAAGAGGGCTGTCTAGAGCCAGATGGGTAACTTCACACTTCATTTATCAAACCCAATGCATTAGACTCCACCCTCTCTTTCCCACTATTGCTGGTAAATTTCCATATAATTTGGTAACAATTTTCATTATCATACAGTGACCCTAAAAAGTCTATCCGAGTTTGCACGGTCAGTCCAAAATTCACAGCTGTTCCCTTCACCCTGTGTTTATTACAGTAGAATCTGAGGTTCCCCTCACTTTATAAGCTGAACAGTGACCTTCTGCAAGCAGAGGTCAAGAAGGGGTCAGTTCAAAGGGCTAGAGCAGCTCTTTAACAGCTATAACAACCTGTCCATCAGGCACTATCACACAGTATAAACAAATCTGGGGCTTTGGAAACTCTGGACCATTTCTGTTAACACTCAGAGGACATTCACTGAGTCCTACCTGAAGTATTTTGGATCACTACCACTCAGAGAACAACTTGAATCCCTGGAAGACCTGCTCAGATACTTAAGATACTGATGACATCTTTGCATCACAAGTCTATGAAATGGTGAGTGCAACACTAAGCACACTGCCATGAGTTTTGGGCTGTGGAGCTGAAATAAAATCTTAAAAAGAGTCACTTCAGCTCATTAATAGGCAGAAACACTGGTACAACTTAAAGTAAATAACACAAGAATGTGCTTTAACTGAGTAGGTACATACCAGAAGAGTTCATATGTCTTTCTCTGGCAAAGGATAAATTTCTAAAAGTTCAGTCAGTTTGTGTTACCAGTTCCCAACATGGTTTTTTGTTAGGTTTTTGGGGGGGGGGGGGGGTTTGTTGTTTTGGTTTTTTTTTTATTTCAGGTGTTAATGACACAAATAAAACACAGGAAAGAACAGAATGACTACATAACTCTACAAAGACCAAGTGCAGAGTGAAGTTTTCTGCCAGCTGCCCTCCCTTCATTGACCTAAATTTCTTGAAGTTGTACTGTTCATAATCTGCTCTCTAATGCACAATGTAAGGTAATTAGAGTCATCTGTATTTAACTTCCACAGGAAAAAAATTCTATTATCTAATCTAGCTGATCCCCTGATAGCCTGTTGAAAGTAAAGTACTGTAACCTATTGCCTGCCCTTTGACAAGTGCTAATTATTTCCTGTCCAAGCACATTTTTCTCATGTAATTCCAAAGTACACAATAGGCTGATCTCTAAAACATGGGCAGCCCTGCTCGTAGCACGGCGGACGTTTTATAACTTTCAGCGCCGTGTGCTCCATGGCTGCCACAGCCAGTGCTTCATTCCAGACACCGAGCTGAGGCTTTGATGGAGCCAAGTGAGGTGTATGGTAACAGCCTCTTTATGCAGATCATATGGATGAGACTCCCAGACAGGTCACTGGGATGGGAAACATCAAATAGAAAGAAAAAGGATTATGGATATTTAATACTCAAAGGACACTTTCTTTCGGAACTTTCAAGGCACAACGCTCTTGAAATTTTCTCTCAGGTGTTTAGTTTTAAGAAGGCCTGCACTTCATCTGCTTGTGCCTCTGCCACCCCCAAGAGCTGCAGCTTTGCTGTGTCAGAGGCTGGGCTACGTCTCCAGCTGCAGCCCTGGCTCCAGCCCCGGAGCTCCCTGTGAGCAGCAAGTGGGGCCAGGCACACTGAAACCCACAGCTCTTGGCAATTACTCACTGCTGCCATGATTGCTGATGACTCTGTGCATTAGGAAATCACTGTCAGACAAAATGAACTCTAAAAAGGTATTCCACTCATTAGAAGCTTTCTATTCTCTTTCATAACAAACATGCATTCGTCCCAATGAAAGGAAAAGCTTTAAGTGATTTCCTCTGTTTCCAACATAGCTAAAACATTTGCATTATTTAGTAAGCATGGTGATAGGAGGCAAAAAAACAAATAAACACCCCCCCAAAAATAAAAAAATCCCAAAAACCCTCAACCAATTGAAAAAAACAAATTATAAAAAACCCAACAAAGCCACCATAAAAAAAATCCCTTAAATTGTTCAAGAAGTAAAATGTAAATCCCACATGATAATACGGAAAATATTTTAGAGCCAGCTTACTCTGAAATCTTAAAAAAGTAGCACACATTCCATACTCACTGGAACACAAGCTTATTAAGCCCAACATATCATTTGTAAAATTATTATGTGTAATTATGTTCAATTTTTATCTAATATTTCTAAAATGTTTCAGCTTCATTTGCTGTAATTATTTGGAGCAGAAAAGATACCCAAGTGTCAGACCCAAAATCTACAGGTAACATTTTAAAAGCAATCTCAGAGTCTTCAGGAACTACACCAACAAAATACAAGAGATGTCCCCTGACTTTAATTAGTGCAGGTAAAAAAATCATGCCAGTTAAATGCTAAATTTAATTAACAAAAATCTGATTTAAAAATACTTTTGACTAAAACCTGTATTCAATTGTAAGTAAGGAACAACTGGTTTTAAATAAAAGCGGTATATTTGGCAGAAAAATTTCATAGACTGCTAGATATTTTATATAAACATCAAATAAGAAAATAAGAGATTACAAAATTAGTATAAACTTATAGCTTTTAGACTTTGGTGTAAACATCAACTCATTTAGCAGCCTAAGAGAAGGACAAGGTGGAACATGGTGGAAATTCTCTTTCATTCACCTGTTTCTGAACAAACTAAAAGTATGGCGTATCTGGTGCCTCTGAAATGCACTCAGCTGATTACATTCCAGCAACACAAACCTTCCCAAACACAAACATAAACAATTTTTAGACACTGCTGATAGCACCTCCTGGTCCATGGCAGTGAGCTCTCCTTAAGGACTCGGGTACAGTAGAACAGCCCCAGGACACGAGCGCCAGCCCTTCGTACACGTGTGCCCATCTCACCCAACACCATCCAGTAACTCCAGCAGCACACCACAGGGAAATGGGAGTGGCACGAGCCAAGAAGTGCAGTTTTAGCAGAGCATTCCAGCAAAGAGCATGGCTCATATTGTCAGAAATAGGTGGAAAACCTGTGGGCATTTTAGGTGGTACCACTCCTCAGATCTGAGTGCTGCCTACCAAGCTGTTAGCAGGTTAGCAGTAGCCTGTACTGTACTAGTAACAGAGCAGTCTACCCCACAGAAACATGGACTATCCCATTGAAGGAATTACTGTGTCAACAATGAAAATTTAAATTTTTTTTAAAGTCACTTTTCCCCACTGAAGGGGATTTATAGGAGTACTTCTCACCTTGCTGTCCATTCTTTACGCAGCTTTTGTCTCTCCTTAAGCAGGAGCAGGAAGCAGCTGATGGTTTCATTCCTTTGTTCCTCAATTTGTTGCTCTTTTCTCACCTCAGAGAGGACCAGACTTGTCTTAAAGGGAGGAAACACATAAAAATTATAATCTAGAAATAGGAAACAATGTGTAAAATTAATAAAAAGCCCATAAGCAAATAAGGACAGTAAATCAATAGCTTTTTTTATTACAGTTCCACTGCTGACAAATCAATACAGTAAATGATGGTTAGAAATGGCCACCATATATTTGGTATTTAATCAATATACATGGCACATAAGGTAAACCTTAAAATCTCATTGCCTTAAGTATCACACTAAGACACTCTGCATTCTAGCCCACATTTTTTCTTGAGGCATAGTTATTTTCTAAATATTATCTTGTATCAAATATCAGAAGTATTTTCCTCAATGTAGCATTTGTTTGGGGGACTTCACCCTCCCCTTTGCTCCTTGGTAAAGCTGTTGAAGAAAATACCTGTTTGTACTATATGCGCTGAATGGAATTTCTGCTGATGTCCACATGTTCTCTTTATCATTAAATACTTCAAATAAACAAGTAATAAAGTCTTTTCGTATATGGAATAAATTAAAAAACTGCTCAAAAATATACATACATACAGGCAATGGATTTAAATAATCTGTGAAGCAAGATGGCCCTCAGTCTCTGCAGATCAAGCGCTACTGGCCTTCCCAAACACTGTGCTGACAGTTAATGCTGATGAAAGAGAACTGGGGATGTTCTTATCACCCTTCATCCTCCCACCAAGCTAACTCCAGCTCCCTCACTCCATCTTTTCCTACTCACTCCTGCACCATTGTTCCTCTTCTTTCCCTGCACTTCCCCATGTCTGCCCAGCTGGGAAGGAAATGGTTGATGCTCAGCTACCAGCCAGTCCTATATCCACCAGTGCCCAGGTGCTCCTCCATGTGCAGAAGTGCCTCCATGGCAGAGACTGAGAGTCTTTTCCTGAAGTGAAGATGTTATGTTGCCTTTTTCACCTTAACCAGCCTCCAATAGACATGGAATTATTTTTTTATATTCTAACCTCCAGTCACATGTTCTGCAAACGTATCAAAGCATCTAAATGTTTTTGGGAAGGATGACAGAACAGATGGAATTCTTGCACAAACCTGTTTTCTTTCCTCAGAAAAGGAGGCAAAAAAAAAAAAAGTTTCTGACCTGAGAAGTTGTGCATGTGAGTTTGAAAACACAACCAAACAAAACCAAGAGCTGCAATTCCTATTCCCAGCACAACCTGCCTCATTGGAACAATGTAACAAAAAACATGGCATTTTGCCTCCTCCTCAACATAACATACCCATTCCATTCTGTCCTCCCCAACTAAAATTCCTCTGGGAATTCTGTGAAATTGTTATTATCTCCAGTTTGTGAAAACAGAGATCTATCTTCTTTCCGGCAAGTTTTTGTTTTTTTTCCACAAGAAACGATAACACACAGATAATACATTTCTTAAGCTATGTAAAGTAGGAGTAGCAATGTTACTGCTATGGTCATTTCAAGAGAGAAGCATGAGGGTTCACAGAGACAGAAAATAATTTTATTGCACCAGCATCACAAGTGAAGAACAAAAAGCATCTTTCTCCCCACCTCCCAGCTCTACCAGTTGGCCTACCAAAAGGCATCAGCCCATCATATGGGACTTAAACATCAAAAAGAACATTTTCTTGTAAAAACCCCAAATGTTCAAAACTGCCTGTACAGATCACATTCTTGACCCTGCTTTGACATTACAAAGCAAACAAAAAGCCAGAGAGCATTTTCAGATAAGGATTCCATGACATGGGTTTCCCTTGCACTGACCTACAACATCTTTTCCACAAGCTCCAATATCCGCCAACTTCAACAATCCTGACCTTAGAGCCTCAATTCCATCAGCTGCACAGTTTGAAGCAGGATTTGACAGAGGACTTCAGCAAGTGAAACACACTCACATGAGCTAATGTACATTCTTTAATGGAAAATTAAAGAAATTTTTGGAGTGAAAATTAACACTCCTTGTCATTCACAATAAATACACCTACTAAGGCTTTACCTTTTATATTTATCACATACATGACTTGAAAGAGAACTACAACCAGAGTTTACCCCTGTATTATAGGATGATCAGACTGTAGCCATACAGCAAGGCCACAGTCCACCAAGATTTGCCTTTCAACATGTTTGGATGGCCATTTGATTCACAGAGGGACAGGAAAATCCACTGGTGATGGTGAGATGTCTGCTTCTCCCCAAAACTTCAGCAAAGTCCCGAGTTTAATGATGCCATGCCTCACAAAGTTAAAAGTACAGTTATTTGCTGCAACAAACATCAAGATCTCCTAAATAAGTTATTTACAAAGTGCAGAGCATGGAAAACTGGGAGGTCCTACAGAATTTTCAGTTAAAATCTGATGAAAAGATTACGTCAATGGAGTATTATCAGTCAGAGATGGGTGATCACTTCTCCAAGTATTCACAGTCACACTGTATGTGATATGGTATGAATTCTGTTGACCTGGTCAAATTGCAAGTTTGGTCCTGAGTTTCATTAAGTAAAGTCCCCTCCACCTACAGAAACATCATAATTCCAGAAACTGAACATAATTTATTTTTTCCTGAGAATATAATTATATTGTTCCAGCCTTCTGTTAACACCTTTCATTTATGTGGTGATGTACATGGCTCAAGTCAAACGCATAGCTTGACACTGACATCATAAACGCTTCTTTATTGAGCCCTGTGAGTACAGTCACAGCTACCTGGAGGGTGAAATAGTATTATTAAGCAACATACAACAACAATACATAGCAATTTAACTGATTTACTTGTTTTCTAACAGTGCTGAAAGGGCAGTAAGGTCACCTGGAATGCCAGTGCAGGGCTTGATGTGTAGCTTTTATAGAGGCATTTCTTAATAACTTGCTATTCTTATAATGGCAATAAAAATCTTGAATTGTAACAAATAAAGTAGCATTCTGGGTAAATAATATTATAAAGCATGTTCCTTTGAAAGTTGTCTTTTCCGTGTAACTTGGTTTTGGGTTTATTTTTTACAAGGGGATTCAATATATACTTCAACTGATAAAGGTCAAGGGTTCAAGAAACTCGGTCAAAGATGTTATCAGCTGGGAAAGCCATTTCCTCACATCAACACTGATAAAAACCCATCAGAAACCCGGCTGATACAACCCCTGCTCCAAAGAGCAGGAATGACCTTCTTTTGAACATCACTGCAGTTGCACATCCCATCAAAGAAAATCTGATCTTGTGTCTCAATTCTTTTAATGACAGATAATTGCCTGCAGAGGCCCCCTTTGCCCAATGCTGAGTGAAGCCTTCACAATTCTGAACTGGACTCAGCACTGACTCAGGGGTTTTCAGCACACTTGGGACTGCAGGACAGTAGAATAAATAAACAATGCAACCAGCCCTACAGCCTGTCTTATCTCATCCTTGTGTTCACAGAGATTCTTGAGGGTGGTAATGTTTACAAACTGGTGAAACTTTCTTTCTTCTGCTTCCTGAGCTGTCAAAAAACATATCCTGGACAACCTAAGCAAGGAGATTACACAAATTGCTTATCACTTGTGGGAAGCAACTTCTTGTCTCATTGGCCAGCATACCTCTTTAATAAGCAATACTACCACTATTTTCAGTAAATCTTACCCAATTCTCCTTACAGATCTATTAGTGTATTTAGGGCTTTCCTTGTAAAACCCAAATGGCACAAGTCATAAAAACACACAACTCACCTCTCAAAAAGCCTAAAGCTATGTACATACACACACATATGTGTATGTATGTACACATGTATCAGCAGCAACTCCAGCCTTTTACATTAAACATAGTATTTAGGAAACTGTACTCTTTGCCTTCTTCCTGGTACAGCAACAGAACTACATTTAGGCATATCAGGCAAGAGCCATCAGAGCATCTTCTCTGGCTATGTAAGAAAGGAAGGTTCTAAGATCAGATTTCGAGAGACCTACACCCTATTTCTCTCATTATCACCGACAACCTATATCAGTGCCAGAGGACTGAATAGAAGCTGTTATAACCAAGTCTTTCTGTTCACCCAGGATATACACACAAAATTAGATAACAAAGCCAATCTAGGTATTGTAATGGGTTTATAATATTTTTCCTTAGATATGCAGCAGAAGAAACTCTGTTTTAACATCCATAGGCCACTAGCCTGCTAAACTGTGTGTCCGGATGAATATCACAACATGCCTACAGACAAGCAAGAAAAACCAACATCTAAACACTCCAAACCCTACACTGGTACGTTTTCAATCTTATAAAGCTAGATTTTTTCCTTCCTTTGATACAGACCTCATGAGGAGTCAGACGTAAGGTTAGAAACACTGTATGACTGGAGACATGAAGCTTAGTGTTCTGTCAAACAAATTAGCCTTCAGTCTGAACTAAAGTGGCACTTGGGACAGTTTGCCTCTTGGTCTTACTTTGTTGGGTCAACAAATCAGATTTTTCACTCCAAGTTAAGATTTAATTTACTCATCACCAGTTTAAATAGGATAAAGTTCTGAATCTTTACCAACCACTTGTACTTTAACATAGCAGTCATCTCTAAAAAAATTATAACTAATACAGAAAGGGAAAAACAGGAAAAAAATCTGTAAACAGGGCTAAAATGTTATTCTGTATTTTCCCTATTATTTTTCTCATTTTATTTGCTTTCAGTGAAAGAAGTTTCCTGATGAAATTCTATGAAACTAGAACATGGTCCCTTTTAGAGGGGAGGGAAAAAGAACCTGAAATCTATTAGGCCACGTTAATTTAACATGTTGTAACTCCTCCGTGTAAAAAAAGCTAGTAATTGATTACAAAACCCTGCTCATTTCTTCCCTACTTTTAAAATTTCTACTTAAAATACGAGCAAATGTGCCCATGTTCATTGATACAATGGAAACAGCCAGCATGGTTTAAGTTATCACCCGGTAATTTGGGCACATTAAACCCAATTCTCTGCCTTTTGTTTATTAATTCACTATGCCAGATATCACAGTTTCACTCAGCAACCCTCATGTTCTGGATGATATTGAAAAATGAG